CAAACCTGGATACAACACAAAGAAGCTACTAATTCAAAGTGAAGAATCAAGTATTTTAATGGGGTCAGTTTGTATGTATTAAATATTGTTCCTACTTGCACAACTGATTATGTAGGAAATGAGTTTATATCATTTATATCTATTACCTGTAGGCTTTTTTTTTTCTTTTTCAAAATGATTTGTGAGTTATTATGAACATCTCCCAGGAGTTAAGTTTGGTTTAGTCAAGACTGTAATGGCTTACCCAGTGAGGAACACAATTTTATAGCTAACCCATTAAAGTTTCCACTTCAAATTTTCTTTTCCTTGGATTCTTTTTTAGATTCCTCTAAAAGTATGCCCTAGTAAAATGAGTTGTACAATTATACTCCTTTTTAAGTCTGAGTAACTAGAGTTCTCCAATCCCATTCCCCATAATACTCCCTAGTAAAAAGGCCACCATTTGTATGTTTTCATCATTATTTGAAACAATGGATTTTAGAAAATTTCACAGATATTTTAGAACTGTAACATGTTGTTGTTCATTTTTAAAAGCCTAATTGTCAGTTTTGTAATAAAGCAGATTGCAAATAATAATATTAGTCTTGAGATACAGAAATACAATTCTTTACTAGACATGTGCAGAAGACATTTTTAACTCCCCACCATTTTACAGATTTATAATAGTAATAATAGTCCAATATTAAAACACATTGGAGATTTAACTCTGTATTGGTTATTTTTAAGTAGTCTGCAAAGTAATTAAGTATGAAAAATAGTACCTTATCTGAAAATTACATTTAAACTTGCTGAAGTTGTTTGAAGGGCACAAGTAGCCCGAATGTTGGAGAGTTAGCCAGTATAGTACCAGATTAGTTTCAAGCCCAGAAAAATGAGAATATTTAAATAGATCATATTTATAGCTGCTGTGCCTAACAAGAATTGCATTCAAGCATGATTGCATTACAACACTTTTTCCTCCTGCCCTCATTAAAAGATCTTTAAAACAGTTTACAGATTATACTTAAAGAAGAAATATTGAAAGATATTTAATGTAGCTATCACTCATTCTGCCTACCTCTTTGATTTCTATAGGCAAGAAAACATAAATTACATAGCAGTCATATAGACCGTTCACTGCAAGGAAGACAGTAAAAATGTGCTAGCTGAATGAAGTCTAAAATTCCCTCATATATCATACTGAAATAAAAAAATCAATTTCTGCTCCTTTACAATGGACTTTGGCCTAAAGCTACAACATGCAAAAAACACTTCAGCTTAACAGAACAGATAACAGTAGGCATAGGCTCTATATTAATAAATGCCTTATGAGCATAGTTCAGCCACGTTGAGAACTGTTTATCACCAAAAGAATGCACACCAAAAAATGAGACTGATAGGTCCACACATTTTGAACTTTAGGTCTGGGTTATAAACTGTGTACTGTCACCACTTAGTATTAGTCTTTTCCTTTGGTCAAATTAACATATATAGCTTAAATTGCTACCTCTTAACTACTTGACTAGGCTGATATACCTACTTCATGAAACTTGACATGCCTCTGAAAATCAAATTGGTATTTGCAGAGTGACAGTGTTTCTGCTCAGAAAGGAATATGGTTAGCCCTGTAACGATTGACACAGTTGTGCTTTTCAGGCACTGTTACTTTATATTCCTTACATTTTAAAACACTTGGGTGATAAAGTAATTTACAAAGTGGCATGAAAGTTCAAATGCAAACCTCCATGCTTTAGTGATTATAAAAACATGTAATTGTCACAGGTTATAGTTAATGCAATTCAAGGGGCTTTATTTTTTTATTTTGTAATATAGGGCTGTCACACTGTGTATCTATAGAAATAATATATTTTTATATAATAGGGAATAAAAGGTCCAGGTTCCAAATACTGGTATGAAATTGCCAGCCTATACCTATTATAAAACTGAGAGTCTTATTTCAGAATCAGTTCATGGCACAACAAAAGACAGGATATTAAAGCTGTGGATAATTTACAGACAAGTAAGGAAATAATTCAGTGCTTTAGAGACTTCTTTCCTGTTTTCAGTTTCATATAAATTTTAAACTGAAAGCAGAAATTTTCATCCTGAAAAACATACAAAGCATTTCAAAATGGCATATGCACACATGGACTTTTAAAGCCATTGTTTAGCTGTATTAATTTGAGACATTACAGCTATTAATTATAATGTGCATGGCAGGGTTATTTTAAAAAAGACAAAATTTAAAATAAGCTTTTAAAAAGTAGTGCTGTTGCATGCCAAAATCCATACTGTCTTACACATACAGTGGTTCTGGTGACATTGGTGGAACTTCAGCACACGGGTAAGGAAAACAGAATTTAGTTGAATTATGTGTAACATAATATCCTAAGATATCAAGAAACCATTGTTGTAAACAAATCTTACTGAGAGGTAAGAGCCCTTTCATATACAGTACTAGCTGATACTGAATGTGTATTTCCATCTAGCTACCATTCATTTCATACTAACTTTAAATGTAACTATTGTGCAATGATCTAACTTTAGAATATTTTGATAAAGAAATTTAGGGTTACCTTCAAAAGATTCTCAGAATGCCTGTGCTAACTGTTAATGCATTATCTGGACTACAGCTTACATACTCTTTATCTACAACGTATTTCCATTTAATTTATATGTAAACAGAATTTGTATTTCAAGCACCATTTAGGAAAATGTAACGTATCTCAATTGTTGCACTGAAGTGGAAAGTCAGGTTTGGTCACCCTGTTACACATTCATCCTGGATATCAAAGCAACTGTCTTACAACCAATAGCTTAAGCTACTCACATACTTTGCTCCCCAGTTTTTCTCAGGATCAGAAACAGCATGATAAAAAATTGTAAGGTGCGCAAATAAAGGCCATTCCTGAAAAAGCTGTAACATTCTGACAGACACTCATGAAAAACATTTCAGAAAGAACATCCACACAGACATAAATATTCATTCTTAAAAGAGCAATTTGCACAGGGGTCATTTCAGACTGCAGGAACACTGACTTTATGGCACCTAAATCCCCTCCTCCTTTCTCCTAGACTCAGTTACAGCTCTTTCATACTGAAAGACCAGAAAGGTTGAGCTTGAAGAGAAAAAAAAAAGCCTCCAGAAGAGGTAGAAAATAAAACCTGTTTAACCCAACTGATTATATGCTACTTTTATAGTAAAGACAGTGGCATAACTGGAAAGAGCCTAAGAAAACAAATTAAAAAAAAACCCCAAAAAACAACAAACCAAAGGTGTCAAGTATATCTGCCAAAAGATAATAGGGCAATGAAAAAAATCCTACTTTAAACATGGATCTGAAAATTTTAGAGTTGGAATTCAAAGTAAAACCAGAAAATGTTAGAGGGTCAGAGGTCACTGATTCAGGAGTAACATCATTATCAACAACACACAGATGATTATCTCTTGAACTGCAAAATTCATGTCCCTAGGGGTCTGTACTGGGACCACTATTCCAGTACTCCAAAGACACTATTCATCAACAACATAGACTGTGGGACTGAGTGTGTCGTCAGCAAGTTTGCAGATGACACGAAGCTGCGTGGTACAGTTGACACAGCTGAGGAACAGGAAGCTACTCAGAGGGACTTGGACAGGCTCGAGAGGTGGGCCCACGCAAACCTCAATGGGCCCAAGTGCAGTGTCCTGCACTTAGGTCAGGACAACCCCCAGTATCAATACAGGGTGGGTGATAAAGGACTGAGAGTACCCCAGGACTTGGACTGGGAGTTACCCAGGACTTGGGGGTACTGGTGGATTAAAGATTGGACACGAGCCAGCAATGTGGGCTTGCAGCCCAGAAGGCCAATTGTATCTTGGGCTGCATTCAAAGGAATACAGCCAGCAGGTCAAGGGAGGTGATTCTGCCTCTCTACTCTGCTTGTGAGACCCCACCTGGAGTACTGCAACCAGCTCTGGAGTCCTCAGTACAGGAAAGACATGGGCCTGTTGGAGAGGGTCCAGAGAAGGGCCACAAAAACAATCAGAGGGATGGAGCACCTCTGCTACAAGGAACAGCTAAGAGAATTGGGGTTGTTCAGCCTGGAGAAGACTCTGGGGAAACCTTACTGCAGCCTTTCAGTACTTAAAAGGGGCCTGTAAGAAAGATGGGGAGAGACTTTTTAGCAGGACCTGTTGCGGTAGGATGAGGGGTGATGGTTTTATCTGAAAGAGGGGAGATTTGGGCTGGGTGCAAGGAAAAATTTCTTTACAATGAGGGTGGCACAATACTGGCACAGCTTGCCCAGAGAGGTGGTGGATGCACCATCCCTGGAGACATTTAAGGCCAGGCTGGATGTGGTTCTGGGCAACCTGATCTAGTTGAAGATGTCCCTGGTCATTGCAGGGGGGTTGGACTAGATAACCTTTGAAAGCCCCTTCCAACCCAAACTATTCTATGATCGTATGATTCTATGCCTCTCCTGCAAAATGGGTCATTTCAAAAGTGGACAGCAGGATCGAAAAGTTGACATTAAGTCATTTACAATAAACAATCACAAAACAAATTATCTAAGATAAACAGAATTTTTTTTCCCGTTTTAAGAGATTTCTTACAAAGAAATTCATCATTTATAGTACAATTTATTACTTGTATCTATTTTTCCATTGGTACTGAAGGAAATAATTTGATGCCAGCTTTCAGTACCTTCTGTATTTCCTTTAAAGTTCTTCAAAACAATTTAAACTTGCTTTTTAAATGCAAGTTCCTTCTGCTACTCATGTCTAATTTGGTTCATGTGAACAGTTTAAGTGATTTTAATACAGCTACTCTTGTGAACAAAGGTTCTGTATTAGGAGTGCCAAAGTTTTCTAAATTAGTGCAATCTTTTTTGTAATTGCAGATTCCCTCCACACTGCCCTCCAGCCCCCCTTTAATTCCTGCTTCCAGAACTCTA